TGGGATAGAGAATACTATGGACAATATTAGATCACTATATAAACTCATAGTATGGCCTCAACTAGAAAATTGCTTGCAGTACTGGTCACCTATTTAAAAAAAATATATTGCAGATTTAATAAGAGTTCAGAGAGAGGCTGTAAACAATTAGGGATATGAACAAATGTTCATGAAAAGAAACTGAAAAATTTAGAATATTATAAAATATATAACTATGAATGCTGCAGAAAAGGTAGGTTGGGATTTTTGGTCTCCCTGTTTGAGGAAGAAAGAATGAGGTGTTCAGTATACCGTATATACTCGAGTATAAGCCGAGTTTTTCAGCACATTTTTGTGCTGAAAAATGCCCCCCTCGGCTTATACTCGAGTCAGCCTCCTGCTCGCGGGCGGGCTCAGCGCGTCTCTGCCGCCGGCCGGGCGCTGGGGCCGGGGGGCGCTGCTGGGAGCAGGCTGGGCTCCGTGTGTCGGGGGCCGTCGCTGCGCGGGGCGCTCGGAGCCTCTGCCGGCCGCTTGGGTTGCGGGTGCGCCCGCAGGTGCTGCTCGGAGCCAGCGGCCTCGCCCCGGGGCCGCTGGCAGGGAGGCTCGGGGAGCAGCCGAGAGGGGCTTTGGCCTGGGAAAGGTCCAGGCGGGGGCTGAGCTGGTTGGGCAAGTTACGGTATTTTTGATACCATATTGTTTTTGTTGACCCCCTTTTCCACTTACAGAGCTAGGTTATTGTTTTTCTTTGAAATAAATATTCATGTAATTTTATTGGTATCTATCTTCATTTTTTACATTTACCAGTAGCTGCCTCATTTCCTACCCTAGGCTTAAACTCAAGTCAATATTTTTTCCCAGTTCTTTGTGGTAAAATTAGGTGCCTCGGCTTATATTCGGGTCAGCTTATACTAGAGTATATACGGTAATGAAAATGGCAGTGGTAAATCCATTTCACTCATGTATTTGGACTGTGTCACTCATTGCCCCAAAATTATTTTGTGCCCATGAAATTAGAAAGATTCAAAGAGGCTACCTTAAGTTCTTGGATGGAGCATTATTAAGCCTCATTATTTCAGGATTTAAGTCTGTCCCTAGTTGCTAGATATTAGGATGCTGCTTTGAATTTTCTTTGAAGCAAGTGCTGTCAGAGAGAGGATGCTGGATGAGATGGGCCCTAGGTCTTATCCAGTACAGCAATTCTTGTGTTCTGTGTTCCTAACTTAAAGGGTAAGTTATCAATAAATGGTGATTTTAATAATTTTTAATTGATTTAGTTAACTGGTGCATGTGTCTAGTATAGATAAGGCCTTTAACAGTATAGATAAGGCCTTGCCTTATTTTTGGAGCAATAAATTGCCATCCACCATTCTACCACTATAGGAAAGGCAGAGAAACTTGTTTTTGGGTCAGAGGTTCCCAAAAAAGGAACGTGCACCAATGCATATTGCTTCATTGCCAGCCCCGACGCTGCTGTATGTATGTCATATTTTCTAACTTGAATGATAAACAATAAAGTTACTGCTTTGTATTTCTGCTAGCTATTCAGATCTCAGTACATCTGATTGTAGATGATCTGCATTCTATTCCTTTTTCTGCTCCAATGGAATTGTTAACTAAGGCTGTATCTTCACTACACTCCTTACAGGGGCACAATTGTACCTCTGTAAGGTATCTGGTGTAGATGCTCTATGCCATTGGGAGAGAGTTCTCCTGCTGGCATAATTAAATTACCCTCAAGGAACAGCAGGTGAAGCACTGTCTACACTGGCAGGTAAATCAGTATAGCTGCATTGTTTGCGGTGTGGATTTTCCACACCTCTGAGTGATGTAGTTTTTACCAGTGTAGGTTACTAGTGTAGGCCAAGCCTAAATTTCAGTTTACTTCTGTACAAACTCACTAAAGGCAAAGGGATTAGACAGGTGACCCTGAGGATATTGTCTGAAGAAACTGAGATGACATAGGTGTTACGGGGGCCACATTTGGTCTGCAGCACTTCTTATTGATGTTGCTTTATGTAAATGATGCAGGCTTGTGTCTGAGAGACCAGGCTGAGATTGGAGGGCTGGCAGTTAGGAGGAAAATGTGTATCCTTTTTGTTTGTAAACTTATTCAGAAATAACAAGTGGCAATAAACTCCACAATGCCGCCGTTAATTTATCAATCCGAATCTTATTTGAGTGTTGTTTTCCGTTTGCACTTTGCAAGGAATATATGATTTTTCCTGACAGCTGTCTACTGTGGACAGCAGTCATCTATGTCTTTTGTCATTTTTGGACCAGATTTTATAGTACAACATATACTTCAAGAGATGCGGAAACTGATGGTAAGTTTATTTAGCAGTTTTATGCTGGAGCTGATCTGGCTTTGATTCATTTCAGGTTTTAATTTAAGGTGTTTCATTTACTTTTGCTAGCATTGGTTATCTGATGTATTGAGTTTTTTATGATAAAGAACTTAGTATAAATGGGATTTGTTGGAATAGTAATAGAGCCAATATTTTTTCTAGGAGGGAAACATATCATACTCACCTTCCAAATACAATAATGGTTTGGCAGGTTAGAAGGATGAATGGAAATCACTTTCCAAATGCAAGTGGGTTGACAGCCCAGGAGGTGATTTTCTTGACTCCAACACTTCAAGTTCCTGGTAGTGACATATGGCATCTCTCCAGGATAAATATTAGTTTTGGAAAAACTAGTTGAATTCTTTCATAATGGTTAACTTACTGAAAATCTGGCCCCAAATAATATGTTTAATTCAGACTTCTCTGGAGTTTACAGACTGTAAATTTTATCATTAGCATTTTAAAGTTAAAATGCAAAGTGAAAATTGAAACGGAATTAAAGCCACATTTCTGTGCTGAATGTCTCCAGTGAGGATATTCTGCATGTAAATATAATCTAATTTAAGGTTTTAAAATATTTTCTCCTCCGTGTGACGTCCTTTAGAAAGAAAGATGCCAAGTTCTGTACCGCTCTACCAGCCTCCTCCCCAGCAGTGCTTGCTGCAGGATCTGCCAACAGTAAACTGAAGTTTCCGAGGTTATGCAAAAACTTTATAAATATGTAATTTGTGTCTCAATAATTTGCATGCCCTGTCTCATGCAGAGGCACAGAAAATTTGGCAGCTGTGTTTGAATCTTGCTGAAGGGAGCCCAAAATGCATAATTTTTTACATAAAAAATGCTATAGGTTGCATACATTGCAATAAGATTGTTATTTGTTGATGTTGCAATTTAAAACCTATGGCCCAGAAAATATTAAAGGGATTTAGTAACAAAGGGAAGTGAATATTTAAGCATAGTTACTTAACTTATTTCTGTGCTGTATCTACCTTGAAGACTATCTAATGAGAACATTAAGCATATAAATCTTAAGTGTAACTCAATTTACTTGTGCAGTTTCTCTTCACAAAAAATCAGAGTATCCGTCTTAATTAATTTTCCCCAGAGTAGAATTCAGGCTTCTGTTTTTATAAGGGATGTTCAAAAGTAGTGTTTAAAAATATCACATACACACAACTGCAGCTCTCCAGCTGTAGCCACCATGTATATGCTTTTGATCCCATGAAAAATGTAGTGTGATCTAAAATGTAATGACTAAGTGTAGGCTTTGGAAAAAAAAGGCAGGTGGCAGTATGAGGGAGCATTTGAATTAAGTTATTTTTGAAAGGGCCAGCTATAGCTGCTAGTGTGGAGTCAAACATCCCAAAATATTTGAGAGTCTAATAAGAGATGTCATACCAGCTCACAATGTCAGTGTGAACACTGAATAAAAAGTGCGCAGGAGAGTAAAGGACCTTTTGTCCCCTTTCCCATCTTAATGCCTGTTCATATACAGCAGGTTGAGTGGGGATGAAAGTTCCTTCCTGACAAGCTATTTACAATCAGAAGCTGCTTTGAAGATGTGCAGAGTTGAAAACTAAGCAGTGGGACTATTGTATATTAGTAGTTCAGCACTATGCTATCTTGGCAATGGCAGTTTTAAATGGATTATTACCATATAATGTTTGTGATTAGTTTTGAAGTGTTGCTGTTGAGGTAATCACCAGTGCTGCTACATGGTATGCAGAATGCTGCTGCTACCTGCTGCTTGACATATCTTCAAGGGGGACAGATTGAAGTAGGAGGCTAAAATGACAATGGGGAAGGGTTGTTAGATTGAGGGAAGAGTGCCGATAGTTGCATAGTGGAGACAAATATCTGGAACAAAACTGTTTTTGCCACAGGAGTATATTGTTGGCTCGCAAAAAAGCGGAAGCATTCTTCCAGTCAAAACTGGAATTTCTATAGTGATCAGTTCTTAAAACCTTAAATAAATACTGACCTGATAGCATCATAATTTTTCCAAGTTCTTTTGAAAGGTATCTGTCACTGTTCTACTGCTCCTTCTCAGCATCAAGCTTCTCAGCATGCTCTTATGTGAGTGAGAAGCAAAATTTGATAGTTAATCTACATATTTGGCCCCTTCTCCACATACATAGCTCTGCTGTGTAGGACGCTCTTGAAATGGAGATACGAAGTCACAGAGGGGAAAGGCAGTTGTGGTGTATTCACCATGTCTTTGTGTAGCTTTCTCTCCTCTTCTACAGCTGTTGTAGTTAAGTGGAACTTGGAAGTCAAACGAAACAAACAGTATGTTACCACACCTTTGGGACTTACCAGTGCTTAACACATCATAAATTGCAATGATTGGAAACAGCAGAATGAAGAGGAGAAATAGAAATTTTTCATATAACTTATTTTTACATCGATGCAGAAGTGTATCCAAATTATTCCTGTTAATGCCAAATACAGAATTTATACGAATAACTGAGATTATGCCAATAAAATTATACTTTTTTTTTAAAAGGATGGGAAAAGATTTTTCAGTGTGAACCAAATACTTTTCTTTACCGATTGTTGTACATCGATTTGGAATGTGTTTGCTGTTGGTATCCTGTGTGAATGTTCTCTTGGCCTATTCAGTATTTGTAATACACATTTCAAATACTCTATGCTGTTTTTGTCTACCCTTTGCAGGACTTCTCACTAATGGCCCATCAAAGGGATTGGGACCAGGATCGGAGCAGTCAGAGAATGAGAAGGATGATGCATCCCAAGTGTCCTCAACTAGCAATGATGTTAGTTCTTCAGATTTTGAAGAAGGGCCATCAAGGAAAAGGTTAGTGGTGGTTTAGAACTCAAGCTTTCAAGAGTAGCATTGTTGCCCTACGTAAATTATAATTAAGTCAATTAATAATGCTTGATGGTGCCAAAATTTCCCGTAGTATAAACAGATTTTCAAGTGTAGAGTGTTTCAAGCAGCTGTAAAAAGTATATGCTTGCATTTTGGGTTCACTTTGACAAAGTGGGTGCTCTAAGTTTGCCAGTTTTGGTTGGACATATTCTTGGAGGTTCAATGAACAATCTTTAATTAAAGGTCTTTAATCTCAAGGGTAGTCCCAGAGGGGTGGTAAGTCTAGGTAGTTTTTTAGTTTAGTGGCAGAAAACATGGCAATCTCACTGTCATTTTGTTGTGGTTGGTTGATTGTTAAATATTTACTCAGTATTTTGGGGGGCTGTCAATGCAACATAACAAAATTTCAACAAACAGGTTTTAATAGTGTAATTAAATTAGAATTACTTTTAGATTTATTTTGAATATTAAAATTGCTGCATGTTCTATACTAACATGATTTTAAAATACATAGCACCTCTGAGAATAGTGGAATTGTGAGCCTCACTATGAAGATGCGGGTTATTGTCTGTGAAGACTGCTCTGAGATAATGCTCCGGCAATCTGGCTCCTATTCCTTAGCAGGCAGTTATGAAATCCGTGTTGAACTCTGCTACGATGCCGGCCAAATTCTAAATGTGTAAAATGTAGGTTAAAATTGCAGGATTTCTTTTTTTGGTAACAAAAATAAAGAAAGTACAGGCAAAGGTCGGGTTTTTTCCCCCTCTCTTGTATAAAATAAGAACTAAAATTAACTGTTTCAGAAATGTCTTATAAATAGGCTTGTGGTAAAATTTGATTTTTGTATTTTGTGCTATCATTGGATAATATTAATTTGTATTGTTGGGTTTTATTTTCCTCAGTTGTGTGAAATTATGGGTTTTAAGTACTTTATTTTTTTAATTGATTTGAATTTTCATGGTTTTGGTAAATTAAAGGGGATCATTGGGTAAGGTAACACTGACTGGGCTCTCAGCGCTTCTGAGTGCAAGGTGTAACAGTAGCTGAGGTCCTGGCTTGGCAAAAAGAGACCCCTAGATAGGGTGACTGGGGAAGGATGAATCGTTGAATGCAGGTGAAGTTATCCTTCTGCTGAATGGCTCCTGCCCAGGGATAGCTCCCAGCTATTGAGTGAGAGAGTAGGACTGTGATAAGGGGCTGAAGAGCTCTCTGAATTGCATTGTGGCTGGCAATGACCCTGGATTCCTGCAGTCACTAAGGCTATGTCTACACTACAAGGTTTTTGCACAAAACCAGGCATTTTTGCGCAAAAACTGGTGGTGCGTCCACACCGCAAGCATGTTTTTGCACAAGAAAATTGACAGAATAGAAGGCGTTTGCCAGTAGAGTTATTCCTCTCCCCACGAGGAATAACTCCTTTTTGTGCTACATCTCTTGCGCAAAAAGACAGGTGTGTACGCTCCGAAGGGGTTTTTGCACAAGAAACCCCCATCAGAAAAATCACAGGTGCTCTGATGGCCATTCTGTACAGTGTGGATGGTATCTTGCGCAAAAGCACATTGCTTTTGTGATACTCTTTGAGGTCTGGACATACTTTTGCTCAAGAAGTTTTTGCGTAAGAACTCTTCCGCAAAAGGATTCTTGCAGAAAAACCCTGCAGTGTAGGCTAAGCCTCAGAGTAGGGGAAGCAGCTTTTTCTGCCTGTTACATATTTTTTTTGTCTTTTTCTACATGTTAGGTGAAATCAACATTTACCAAGGACTAATTATTTAAATTTATAATCCTTCATAGAAATCACCCCCCCCCCAATCCAGAATAATCTCCTATTAACACATTCCTATTAACACAATCCCCTTAACATTTGTTTGGGGATTTCTTGGGTAGTCTGAGAAAAGCAGAAAAGAGAATGGTTCCCTCTAAAATTAAATGAGCAAAGTTTGGATATGTATATATGCTTCTGAATGTTCCATGACAAAATTAACATTTATTATTTTGCATTGATAGAAATGTTGCCAAGGCAGGTTGCACCGTAGAAGGAGACCTGCAAAAGAGAAATACAGGCAGTCCCCGACTTACGCGGATCCGACTTATGTCGGATCCGCAGTTACGAACGGGGCTGCCCCGGAGTACACGGACTGCGGGACCTCGCGGTCCCGCCGCCCGTGTACTCCGGGCGAGAAAAGCTGCTCCGCGTCTCCCTGGTCTGCAGACCAGGAAGACGCGG